TGCACCCCTGGGCGTCGCCGACTCCGGCCGCCTGAGGCCTCGCCTTCCTGTGCCCTGTCTCCCTGATTAAAGTTGTGCGTAGCCCGCCTAGCTTTTAGTGGAAGAGGCTCGCTCTCGCCCCGCAGATCAAAACAAGTGTGTGTGTGTGTGCGCGAGTGTGCATGCGTGCGGCTGCATGTAGACGCGTGTCTGATGCACGTGCCGTGCACGGGTTGCGTGTGGTGCGAGAGACGCGGGTGCGACGCGGCAGGGCTGACAACCGTCACCCCACGAGGCACGTGGGAAAAAAAACACACAGAACCCGCACCCCCCCCGCAGCCCGAAATTCGGGTCTCATGCGGGCCTTCGGGTTGGGTTGGGGTGGTCTGATAGGTACTCAGTACAGTGCCGTTTTTATTACATGCTCCGCGTGCGGATCATGTAAAACATGCAGGGATCGAACATACAAACAACGATGATTTCATGCAGCATGTGATTCCTAGATTCGTCATTTTTTTTTTTTTTTTTTTTTTTTTTTTTTTTTTTTTTTTTTTTTTTTTTTTTTTTTTTTTTTTTTTTTTTTTTTTTAAAAAAAAAAAAAGAAAAAAAACCTATGTATTAAAACATTTCCTGTATAGGGCCCCAAGGGCGGCGTCCGGCCCCGGTGGGCGCCGCGCGCTCCCCCGCCGTGCCTCCGCCGTGCCTCCGCCCGCCCCGCCGGGCCGCCGGCGCCCGCCCTGGCGCCGTGCCGTGCGAGCGCTGCGCCTCGTGGCCGCGCCGTGGCCGCGCCGCGCGGAGCCCGCTCCTCCTCCTCCTCCTCCTCCTCCTCCTCCTCCTCCTCCTCCTCCTCCTCCTCCTCCTCCTGACTAAGGCGCGGATGCCCACGAACAGCCACCCCTCCTGGGCCCGTCGACGCCGAAGCCGCCGTCGCTGACTCTGGGACAAGCCCAGCCCGCTGGCACCTCCAGCACAGACCTCCGAGGCGGCGGCCAGGGAGATCGGCAGGACGTCGCGCTGCCTCATCTGCTGCGAAGCTGAGAACTCAGGGCGGCCCCACATGCCAGCCCTGAACCCCTCGCGAAAGCCGGCAAAAAAATGAGGGGGACGGCGGACCTTCTAATTATTCAGCCGTCACCCTACCATTACACGGGCTCCCACTACCTACGCCCCCTCCCCCCACCAACTCCCGCTCCCAACCTACCATCTCTTCCCTAGGCAATCAGCTCTCTACTAGTTCCACTCACAGTCGGGGTTTGTCTGTCATGCAGTATCGTGGATGCACGCTCGAAGCCGACGTATCTGCGACCTCGTACCGGACAGTATACAGAACGACAGTACATGCTACAGGGTACACATCGCGTACTATGACAGCATACACAGGGAACTACCACACCACAACATCCAGCACAGCCATGCGATTGTGATCCGACCACGGTTCGACCTCTCCTCTCCCGCTCAGATACATCCAGCTTTTGCCCGCTTTAGCTATCACAACTGTTACCTTTCTCGACCTCCAGAGGATAGAGTGAGTAAGAATCGCACACTAAGGACAGGCACAGGATTCCGACAGCAGCAAACGACCGAGCCTACGCCTACTCCCACATCAAGGTCCTACTACGGTACCTTACGGCCCAACTACTGGGAACTAAGGAAACTACTACAATATCTAAGGTGTACAACAGTAGGCGGGAACCACTAAGGTAAACGAGGATCGGTACACAGCTCGACATACTACCAGAGGACATTTGCGACTCGAGCATCTTCGCGGCCTCTCTATCCATTGCTGGCGGACACTCCGCCTACGTTCAGAGCCAGCGCCCCGAGGGCGCACGACCAGAGCTGCGATGGCGGCGCAGGCGCACACGGAGAAGGGGGAGATGGCGCAGCAGCCAGCTGCAGAAGAGCATCTGCAGCCAACGATAGTGCAGAAGCCGCACGACAGAGGAGGCTTGGGAGGAGCGGCGGACCAAGTCGCGGGCACGGCGGCGTACAGGCTCGAGATCGCGCACAACACACTCCAGAGCACCGCCGTCGCGTTCAAGGTGGCGACCGAGCACTGCGAGAAGGCCCTCCACGCGCTCCACAAGCAGCGGGAGAAGGTGGTGACCACCTTAGGCCGCATGGACGCGAGGAGCCTCAATCCACATGAAGAAGCGGAGCGTAGCCAAGCGAAGCTCTACCTCAAGGAGCAGCTCCACGACATCAACTGCGCCATCAGTTCGATGAGGAGCGCCATCGGCATCACCGACGACAAGATGGGCAAGACGATGCACGGGCCGATGCCATGGGAGCTGGACTACACGAGGCGCCAGGCCGACGAGATCGACAACATATACACGCGCTGGACCAAGGGCCCGCACGGCTACGCCTACGACGAGGCTTTCTTCGCCTGCGACACGCAGACGGAGCCGATGGTTGAGCCGCAGATGGAGATCAAGGACTACCTCCAGCCCGCTCGCAGGCCGCCGTGCACCAGCCCGAGCAAGAGCATAGAGGGCTGGGAGAACCGTGGCAAGGTGTTGAGCAGTGAGGCCAGCTCTAGCACCACAGCCGCCGCCACCGCAGTCACTAAGGCCGACGGCTCCGCTCAGAGCAGGGGCGTCAGGCTCTCATCGCCAAGGGCGGCAGCAGCGGCAGGCTGGGGCATAGGGCAGCAGTAGAGAGCAGATTGCACCAGGCCTGGTTTTCCCTTTTTTTCTCCCCACTTCATCCCCAGAAGCGGGGGCTCGGCAGCAAGCACTCACCGCATGGGCCAGTGCGGCCATGCACTTGCACAAGCCGAGTGCAGGGAGATGTACCAGGCCGCCTCTTCTTTTTTTGCCTCTCTCTACCGTCTAGGGAGTGGGGGGTGGGGAGGATGGGGAGCGGTGGTGGGTGGGCTCTCAGCGGTGAGGGGTGCGCCCAGCGAGGCAGCCCCCCACCGCCTGCAACAGTTGACAGGCCGAAACCGAGGCAGGGTCTCCCTGCTAGCGAGGCTCGGGGACCACGTCCAACCGAGGGACGGGCCCCGTCGCCTCAGGCGGCCCCCCCAAAGCTAGGGTGGGCTCGCATCCATATATCTCCCAGGGGTCAGCATGCCTGTCGGTAGGCGAAGTTGACAGACCCCCAAGGGCCTTATCCTTATCCTTATCCTCCTCCTCCTCCTCCTCCTCTTCGCGCCCTGGTGCCGGCAGCGCCGCGCCCCGCCGCCCGCCGGCCGTCGCCGCGCCGTCGCTGGCCTTCGGCGGGCGCGCCGTGAACGGGCGGAGCTCGGCCACCGAAGGGGGCGGCCCCCTCCCACCTTCTCGGCATGTTTTTCTTGCTCCTCCTGCTCCTCCTCCTTCCTCCTCCTCCTCCTGCTTTTCGAACGTGTTTTTTATCATCAGGGCCGCAACGCGCGTAATGCCCCCTGCCCTCCCCCCCCCTCCCCCCCGTAACGTAACACCCCACCCCCTTCGGTGCGTCCCCAGCGCTGCCGCAGTGCGTCCGGCACCACAGTCTGGGGGGCGGGCGCTGCGTCATGCCCCTTCCCTTCCCTCCCCTCCCCTCCCCTCCCCTTCCATAAAGCTTTTTATGGCCGCGAATCGAAAAATGCGCTCCTCCTCCTCCTCTTCCTTCTCCTCCTGCTTCTCCTCCTCCTCCTCCTCCTCCTCCTCCTCCTCCTCCTCTCCGGCAGCGCAGGCCAGAACTACACGCACGTCCCGCACCAACAAGCACAAAAGGACAGCCAACTGACACCACATGTGGGTGCATCTGCTCCAGAAGAACGACTGCACCAACAGCTGAAGCAAAAACACCTTCACTAAGATCACACACGCAACTGTGCAACATCACCCACGCACGAGAACGCCGACTATAAGGATTCCCCCTCCTCCCTCTTCCATGTCTCCCGTATTTCTTATGGTCTCGCAGCACGTTGCACTTTTCCACACTCCGCAGTATATCTGATCCGGGTCGAAGGTTCACAGGCCCGCCCCCCCCGGACGGTATGGGTCCCAGGGTTGCACAGGCCCCCCCCCTGAGGGGGAGGGACGACGCCGACGCCGACGCAGACGCCGCGAGAATGACGGCGACACCGATGCCGACACCGACGCCGACGCCATCGCCGCCGACGCCGACGCCGACGCCGACCGACGCCTGCGCCGACGCCGACGCCGACGCCGCCGCCGTCGGCGACGGACGACAGACGACGGACGACGGACGACGGACGACGGACGACGGCGACGACGGCGATGGCGACGACGGCGACGACGACGACGACGACGCACCGCCCCATACCCACAGAGGGGAGGGCGGGGGGTGCGCCTGTCCCCTCCACCACGCCACGCCCACAGTGCGACGACCACGGGGGTGGGACGATCCTATTCGCGAGGCCTTCGCGAGGCTCACGAGCGTACCCATCCAGCGGGGGGGGTGCTCGATCCCATATGCTTTGGGGGGGGAGGGGGGGAAAGACTCGGGAGGGAAAGCCAGTCCTGGGAAAGGGCCCATCCATGATGTGAAGAAGTCACGTCGGCGGAGTTCTCGGCCAGCATGCGGACTGGACAGGCTGGCCGGGACGCCGTCGTCAACGTCGTCGTGTTCGTGTTCGTCCTTGCTCCTGGGCGCGGGGCGGGCCAGGTAGGCTGGTGGGAGCCTCAGTAGCAGTCCCGACGACGACGACGCCGACGCCGACGACGACGACGACGACGACGACGACGACGACGACGACGACGACGACGACGACCACGACGACGACCACGACCACGACCACGACGCCGTCGACGCCGCCCGCCGTCTCTCACGTCGACCTTACCGTCCTGCTGATAGTCAGATGCTTTTGTGCGGAGGTCATTCGATGGTCGGTCGGTCCCGCCGGATTCAGCGTTTTCGTGGTCGTTCGTCGTCGCTCGTCGTCGGCGGCCGTCGTGGGTCGCCGTCGTCGTCGGTCGCCATCGTCGTCGTCGTCGTCGTCGTCGTCGGCGTTCGTCGACGGTCGGCGTCGTCGGTCGTCTCTTTTGGCGTCGGGCGTCGGCCCTCGGCTGCGAGGGCCGAGCGCGCAGGTTCGCAGAGCTGGTGCCGCAGCCGCCCGCGGCGCGGGGGCCTCGGCAGCCTGCCTCCCGTCGCCTCGCTGGCGCTCGCTCGCTCCAGGCGGGGGAAGAAGGGTGGAGGGAGTAGTTTCGAGGGTGGAGGGGAGAGGGGGGTGGGCGAGGAGGGAAGGGGAACCAGGAGGAGGAGGAGGTGGAGGAGCATGAGGAGGATGAGGAGGATGAGGAGGATGAGGAGGCGGAGGAGGCCGAGGAGGAGGAGGAGGAGGAGGCCTAGGATGCGGAGGAGGAGGAGGACCAGTGTAAAACCAAAGACCCATCAACGATGTTGCCATACCCTCCCATCCACGTGCCCTTTTTCATAGGGCTCTACACAACAATAATATTCATTGCGAGAAATGCCTCGTTTGATGCCAACCGTATGAGAGCCCCCAACGGTACCAAAACACAATTCCTGGAACTTAAGCGCCGCCGCGAATCAACGTGACTGTCGCGTCTGGGTAATTCTAAATCGTGTCAGAACCCAATCCTTGGGACGTCGAAGCCGCGAACCATCGTGACTGTAGCGTCGGCACACCATTTCTGGGACTTCAGCCTTGTGAGTCTTTCAAGCTGATGCAAACTTTCGAGACGAAAGTGCGTGGCTCTACAGCGAGGCCCAAACTTTGAACAAGAGTAGCCCTCCATCCTTGAAGCTGCTGCAAGCTTTTAGGATCAGAGAGAACGCGTTTCACGGGCGCTTGCCTTGGGAACATTCGGCGGCGCGTTTCAAACTGGGGGGTGGACCCCTCCCCCAACATTTGGCGCCGTCGATCAAAAGCAGGGGGACTCCCCTCCGCCCCAAGGGGTGGGGGAGGGCCCCCCCCAACATTCGGCGCCGTCGATCAAAACCAGGGGGACCCCCCCCTCCCGAACCCCCCCCCCCTCCCAAAGAGGGAGGGGGCGGCGGCGCTGGCGGCCGACAGCAGCGCCCACGGCGGGGACGCAGCGGCGCCGGCGCCGGCGGCGGCCAGCAGCGCCGGCGCTGGCCCCAGCCACGGCGGGGACGCAGCGACGATTACCACCACTACCACCACCACCACCACCACCACCACCACCACCACCACCACCACCACCACCACCACCACCACCACCACCACCACCACCGCCTCAACCCAGCACCACCACCACCACCACCACCAACAGCACCACACAACCACCACCACCACCACCACAGCCACCATCACCACCACCAAAACAACCACCACCGCAACTCACCATCACCACCACCACCACTACCACCACCACCACAAACTACCACACCACCACCACCGCCACGACCACCACCATTACCAGCAGCACAACCCACCGCCACCACCACAAACCACCATACCACCACCACCGCCACCACCACCACCACAGCAAACGTCCACAAACCACCGCCACCACCACAACCCACCACCACCACAAACCTCCACCACACCACCAACCACCACCACCACCACCACCACAACTCACCATCACCACCACCACAAAAATCCACCACCACTACCACCACCACCACCACCACAATCTACCACACCACCACTACCGCCACGTCCACCACCACTACTGGCAGCACAACCCACCATTACCACCACAAACCACCACACCACCACCACCATCGCCACCACCATCGCCACAAGCACCACCTCCACAAACCACCGCCACCACCACAACCCACCACCACCACAAACCACCACCACACTATCACCAAACCACCACCACCACCGACACAACCCACCACCACCACCGCCACCACCGCCACCACCACCACCACAACCCACCACCACCACCACCACCACCACCACCGTCGTCCTCGTCGACGCTCCCCGCCACCGCCGCCCGCCGCCGCAGGCGCCAGCGCTGGCCAAGAAATGGAAATCGTCGTCCCCGCCGCCGTCGCCAGCCGCCGCCGACCCAAGCGCAGCGCCAGCCCGAGGAGAGGGGAAGCAGGGGGGGGGGCTTCGAATCCCCCCCCCTCCGTCACTAGAGGGGGGGGGGACCAGTTCCCCCCCCCCCTTCCAAGCGACCGCAGAAAGCGCTCTTTCTAAGATCACTGTGCCCGGCGCTACGACGAGGGCTACTCTGCCCGCCCGCCCTTCAGTCGTGAAATGGTTGCAGAGTTTTACCACGAGAGTGCGCGGGGCCACGGCGAGAGTTACATCTTGAAACGTCTTGCAAACGTCTTGAGATCAGCCTCACGGTTTTAAGACTGATGTGCGCGGCGGTACGGCGAGAACTACATTTTGAAGACGACCCGACCACCATCTGTAAAACTGTTGCAAACTTTTATGCTTCAGGACCATAAGTGGTGAGACGCTTCAGGCGACACGCCTGGCCCGCCCTACCGACGCGCCTGCGGGGGCGACAGGGATGGGTTTACCATAAGGAAATGAGATGGGAGAGAAGGAGGAGGGATGGGTGACGAGGACGACGACGAGGAGGAGGAGGAGCAGCAGCAGCAGCAGCAGCGGGAGGAGGAGGCGGAGGAGGAGGTGGAGCAGGAGGCGGAGGAGGCGGAGGAGGAGGAGGAGGAGGCGGGAGGCGGGAGGCGGGAGGCGGAGGCGGAGGCGGAGGCGGAGGAGGAGGAGGAGGAGGAGGAGGAGGAGGAGGAGGAGGAGGAGGAGGAGGAAAAGGAGGAGGAGGAGGAGGAGGAGGCGATGATGATGATGATGATGATGATGATGATGATGATGATGATGATGATGATGATGATGATGATGATGATGATGATGATGATGATGATGATGATGATGATGATGATGATGAATGATGATGATGATGATGATGATGATGATGAGGATGATGATGACGACGACGACGATGATGATGATGATGATGATGATGATGATGATGATGATGATGATGATGATGATGATGATGATGATGATGATGAGGAGGAGGAGGAGGAGGGAGGAGGAGGAGGAGGAGGAGGAGGAGAAGGACCTTCCCATCCTTCCTTTTCTCCTCCGTCCAGTGAGGGCAGGACACATGGCCCACCGTGCTCTGCCGAGGCGGCGGCCGGGCGAGCAGCCCGCGTTCCGGCGGCCCGGCAAGCAGGCCCAGGCGAGCCGCGTGCTCCTCGGCCCGGCCGGGCAGGGCCGGCCCCGAGGAGCCCCGAGGGTGGGCGGCCCGCTCAGCGGGGCGGTCAGGGCGACGTCGGGCGTGTCCCTCTACAGGAGGAAAATTCGAAAATCACCCAAAGTACGTAGTCTGGGAACTATTGTGCGGCCATTTTTTTTTTGCTCTCTCTCTCTCTCTCTCTCTCTCTCTCTTATATATATATATATATATATACATCTAGATATATAAAACATTTTGGGGGTGTATATTTTTTGTTGGTTCTTCGTCCAAGATCCGCCTGTAGGGGGACATGCCCGACCTGAGGCCAGGGGGGAGGAGCAGGTCAGAGAGTGGGAGCGTGCTCCAGATGTCGTGATCCCAGACATCCTGGCGTCTCGAAAACAAATATCGAGGCGGAGGTTTCTCATAGTTTGCGGCTTTGGGGGCCCCTAACGGGCTTCGGGCCGACAGTCAGAGCACCATTCGGTATGAGAAACCGGTTCGGGGAGAGTGGTCGAGAGGTCGGGGGCCCGTGGCTCGGAAAAAGTCGAGGCGCCAGATGTCTGGGATGGGAGGGGGTGACAACCTTCCCAGACGGGTCATTTCAGGCCTTCCCAGCCAGCCATGAGAGAGGGCGGCCTTTTGCCCAGATCCTCCTGGAGACCCTCCAGGGGGATCCCCCTGGAGACCCTCCAGAGGGAGGCCTTTTACCCAGACTAGCCATGAGAGAGGAACGCTGGCCATGGAACCCTCCAAGACAGCTCCAATCAGACCCTCCCCCACCAGATCAGACCCCCCCTTGCATTGTGGAGTATGGAGAAGTCAAAGCGCACAGTTATGATGGGCAACTTTCCAAGGCCACCCTTTCTAGGCCTCCCAGATTAGTTCCGAGTGCGTAGATGGTGTCGAAGGATCGCTCCGCATCGGCGATGCATCGACGATGCAGCTCGATGTGGAGCCAGAGTTTCCCCACGCCGATGGCGTCGATGCATCGCCGACGGCGCCGATGCATCGCCGATGCATCGCCGACGCATTGGAGATGCACTGGCGATGCGGCGCGATCCTGTGATCCCATCCACTCGGATCCCATCTAGGATTAAGTCGGGCCTGTCCCTCTACACGGGGAATATTCAAAAATAGTTAAAACATAGTCTGGGGACGATTTTTTTGTTTTAATACTATTTTTGACCATTTGGGGAGTATTTTTTAGAGTATCTTTAACGTTTCTTCCAAAATCCCTCTTTAGGGGGATATGCCCGACCTAAATCTAGGAGGCCTCTGCCCTTGCATCCTTGCCCCGTGCGGCCCACCCTTGGCCACTTTCGCCGGCCGCGCCCCGCACCAGAGAGAGTTGGCGACATGCCTGGCACAAGGCCCCCGCATCCTTACCGCGCATACTCACTGCACGCCTCGGCCAGAAGTCAGGGAGGGGAGGTGCACCGATACGGTGGGGGCCCGTGCCAAGAAGCACCCTGCTTGCCTCCAGGGTGCCCTGGGTCGAGGGTCTTGCCATGGAAGGCGTGACGTTCCCACGCCAAACGTCCATGGACGTCCTGGGGTCTCAGGGTGGGGTTTCTTGTGAGAAGTTTCCTGTGGACTGGCCTCGACTGTACCTCTACCCTCGAAGAAGACGGCGGCACGAGCATGACTTTTCGGAGCTCCGCGCGGACTTCTCGGAGGTGTCCCCTCCCGGCGCCGTCCCCGGCGCACTCCTTCTGCGCGCCAGGGGGAGGAGGGGGGCTCCGCGCCGATCCAAGAGCTCCGCGCGGACCCTCCGAGACATTAGTTTTGACTGCAGTTCTTCTGTTCTTTGATACACTCTTCGTCGCCACGGCTGGATGCGCCTCCGAATCCTGGCCAGAGCGTTCCCCTGTGGAGTCGCGGCAGCGGTGCCTGTGTGTCCCCTCCCAGCAGAGGCCCTGGCACGCCCAAGAGGCATCAACGCTGCTGAAGTACACCCTGCCGTCCCGCGTACCCTCCACATGCGTCCCTGAAGGCACTCCTCCTCTCACCGGGCGCGTTGCACTCCTCGCAAAGTGCCTACTCGCAAACGTCCAGAACAAGCACATGCTCGCCTCGATGTAGTGGGTCGTAAAGCCTCCTCGGCGGAGCCAGGCCCTTAGCGAGTAGTTACTTTGCGGGTAGTGGAACGCGCTTGTCTATCTAGGCCTCCCAGTCGGGGCCCAGGCTGGGTAGACGCGGCCGAGGGACCGCTCCGCATCGCCGATGCATCGGCGATGCGGCTCGATGTGGATCCCGATTCTCTTCACGTCGACGACGTCCGCGGTGCATCGCCGATGCATCGCCGACGCATCGCGGATGCATCGCCGATGCACTGCCGATGTGTCGTCGATGCGGTGCGATCTCCCGACCCCATCTGCTCGGACCCCACGTGGGATCCACCGCCAGAACATGTCCACATCCACCGCTTCGGAGTCGTGCCCTGGGAGCTCGAGGAGCGGTGGATCTGGACATCTACCCGCCCGCGCTGGCGGGCAGATATCCACATCCGCCGCTCCCCGAGTCCTCGGAACACGACCCAGCAGCAGTGGATATGGTCATTGCGAAGGCCTTACGGCCGGTGCCGCGGACCCTACGACGACGACGACGACGACGACGACGACGACGACGACGACGACGACGACGACGACGACGACGACGACGACGACGACGACGACGACGACGACGACGACGACGACGACGACGACGACGACGACGACGACGACGACGACGACGACGACGACGACGACGACGACGACGACGACGACGACGACGACGACGACGACGACGACGACGACGACGACGACGACGACGACGACGACGACGACGACGACGACGACGACGACGACGACGACGACGACGACGACGACGACGACGACGACGACGACGACGACGACGACGAGCGCTCTCGGGGGCCTCTTGGGGGTAGTTTTGGGAGCCTCTAGGGAGGCTCTTGGCAGCCGCTCGGGAGCCTCGTGGGGGCCCCTTGGGGCTTCCTGGGGGCCTCTTGGGGGCCTCTTGGGGCTTCCTGGGGGGGGGGCTTCTCCGAGGCCTCCGGGGGTCTGCCCGAGAGCTCCCGGCGGCGCATGCGGGAGGCCGCCTGTCTGTGCTCGCGTTGCCGGTCGCCCCCGCTTCGGAGGCAGGGCCCACGGGCCCGCGGCTCGGGCGGGGAGGCTTTCGTCTCGAGCTCGAGCTTCCCTCCGCCCCTGGAGCCAGGGTGAAGTCGGGCGTGCCCCTCTGCAGGAGGAATGTTCCAAACATAGTTAAGATATAGTCTGGGCGCGTTTCTTATTTTCTTTTTACATGAACGGTTTTCTGACTCTTTTTGGGTATTTTGTGGGATTGTTTAATGCTTCCTCCAACATCCGCCTGTACGGGGACATGCCCGACCTAAAGCCAGGGGGGAATGCGACGAGGTGGGAGCATAAGATGTCAGAGTCGTGCCGAGGCATAAGATCGACGTCGGTTCGGGGAGGGTACCCTCCTGTTCTTCGTGCTTGTTGGGTGCTCCTGTGCATCTTCGGGAGGGTAACCCTCGGATATTCTCTGTGTGTTTTGGAGGGCGGAGGGTCTCATGCTCTTGGGGGATGTCCTTATGGCCTAGGTTCGACCGTGATACAATACAACTCTCAGGCGATAGTCCCGTACAGCGGTCGCGCAACTAGATCAAGTCGCGCTGCCGCGCGATTCCGTCACCGCGCGTGGGCGTGCGCCTGGGGGGGGGGCGCCTGGAGGCTTTTCTGGGGGGAGGGGGGGCAGGAGGAAGAGGAGGAGGCGGAGGCGGAGGCGGAGGAGGAGGAAGAGGAAGAGGAGGAGGAGGAGGAGGAGGAGGAGGAGGAGGAGGAGGAGGAGGAGGAGGAGGAGGAGGAGGAGGAGGAGGAGGAGGAGGAGGAGGAGGAGGAGGAAGAGCACGAGCATGAGCATGACTACATGACAACGTCAAGTCTGAAACTGCGGCTGGCCTCCTTGGGCGTGTGAGCTACACTGGAGTGCCTCTGGCACGCTTCTCCGCTGCACTTAACACCTTGGGCCATTTGCCCTTGGGGATTCTCGTGAGATACTCAACCCTGTGGTGAGCCGCTGCCTCGAGACAAGGCTTGCTGAACTCACGTAGCTGCTGGATGGCGCAGCAGCCGCAACCGACATAATACCACAAACAACTGCCACCATCCGCCTCCCCCCTGTTCCGAGTGATCATGCCCCCTCTCGTCTTGCTTCTTCCTCTTCCTCCTCCCGCGGCAGCGGCGGCGAAGGCGAAAACGAAGCGAGAACGAGGGCGCAGGCGCGGGGATCGGAGATTGGCCAGTTGAGGCAATGGTGTCTCTCCAATCCTCGATCCGTTCAAAATCGGTCCCCTGGACCCCCTCCTGGGGTCCATCCTGATTGGTTCTTCGAGGCGGATCCGGCCGTGGCGACGGGAGGACTCCGGGAGGCTCAAGGGGGACGAAGCACGGCAGTGAGGGCCGCCGGTGTCTCGATTGGCCCTCCCCCGACGCTCGCTTTCCGCCGCGCTGCCCCGTTCCGCTCTCCCCCCCCGCTCGGAGGGCGCCAACTGTAATTGCAGCTGAGCCTGGCCAGGCCGATCCAGGGCCCAGGATCGGTGCGTCTGCCTCCCAGCCCAAGGCCAACAGGGCGTCCACACCGGTCCCGGGACCATGACGAATCTGGCCACGACCGGTGTGGATGTAGGTGTATGGTTGACACGTTCCGCCTGGATTTACAGCTCACCTTGCACACCACCCATTCCTGCACTTGACAGTGTGCACGGTTTATACCTGTGCCTTCGACAGCGTTCGATCGCAAGCAGCACTTCCATTTGCTGCTCGCGTCTCTGAGGACCCTCTGCGTCTCTGGCTTAAGAACTTAAGAAAGTGTATGGTTGGCGCCCGCCTGCGCACCCACGACGTCGCCCCCTCCTCCTCCTCCTCCTCCTCCTCCTCTTCCAAGCGCCCCGGCCCAACGCGGGGGGGTGCATTCTGATTACGAAGCCGCATGCGTGCTCCTCCACCACACATTCTTTGTTCGACGGTGCTGCCACACAGCGCCGCA